AGGAGCAAGTTGGTCGAAACGAACACGATTACGCTGCCCTTGTACCTCTTCTTTACGTATCACTCTTCACCCACATCCCATTATTTCCATCTCACCGCGAGATGAGCGAGTGTAAAGTTGGATGTGAAGGGAATTGTTATGACCTTTAGGTGCTGCCAACATGTTTTCTCATTTAATTCTAACATCATTATGCACTGATGAGGAATCTGGTCATCATGCCTGACTGAAATGCTATGCCCCACTCATTGCTTGTATCATAATCGTCATCTTCTGCAGCTTTACTACTTCAATCAATCGTTAAACCACCATAATCTAAGATAAGGAAGCATACAACAATTCCGGACCATTCACTATCATGACAAGATGGAGGTATGTTCACTTTCATCTCACATTTCGATCTATTCCCACCCAAACCACCATAATCTTCTTTATTTGGAAACCATGATGGCATTTTGCGCCCTGGAATAAATTCCAAACCTGGAAAAATTGAACCTTGGAGGGTGCTCATCTCTCATTACGGTTCATCATTCACTTGGAGAGTTGAAAAAGCTTGTTGAAGTGACCTTGTCGTGTTGTACCAGTCTTGAAATCCTTCCGAAAACATTGGAAATGAGCTCTTTGATAAAGTTAGATATTATTTGGTGTGATAAACATTCAACTCTTCCAGAACTTGGGGAATGTATGAAAAAATTAACAGTGCTTGATGCAAGGAAAACTGCTATAACCAAACTTCCAGAATAGCTTGGATTCTTTTCTGGTTTGGAGGTTTGAATCTAAGGGGGCCCCGAAGACTTGTTCTTCAAATGTCTGGTTTAATCCAACATCATTAACCATATTAGGCTTGAGCTACTGTGGCATTAGTGATGGTTCAATTCCTGATGATTTAGGTAGTTTGTCATCATTAATTACTTAAAGCCTGGAAGGAAATGATTTTGCTAATTTACCCTTTGGTTGCTTCTCAAATCTTTTTCAACTACTTCATCTTTATTTGAATAACTGTGAGAGGCTTAAGTCGCTGCCAAAACTCCCACCAAGGTTAATCCATTTATATGCAACTGGTTGAGACTCGATGGAGCCTTTATCATCAGATGGAATTGGGAATCTAGTTTCATCACTTGACCATGAGGTATGTTTAACTATAACTTACAAATATGTCGATTTCTTTATCCTTTTCTTTTAACTATATAGATATAACATGATTTTTTATTCCTTGTTTTAAATATGTCCATTCAGGTATAAATTTTTGTGATGTCTTCCTCTGTATTCTTCATTCTCATTTTGAAGTAATTATTGGAAATGAAAGTTATATTAATTTTGTTACAGTCGAGATATGTACCCGAGGCAGATTTTCTTGCAATAATGCCAAAATCTGAGATACCTTCATGGTTTCCAAACAGAGGCTCTATTCCTTCAAATGAAAGTGGTACTTCAAAATATGAATTAGTGGTGGACGTCCCTCCATATTTTCGTGCAAGTAAATGGTCTGGACTTGCTGTGTGCCTAGAAATAAAAGACAGGTCAACATGTGATAAACTTACCATTTCATGGAGTTGTAAAGCTCGTGAAGATGAAATTTCAATTGTGTACGCCTGGCAGCCTTGCCTCTGCCTAATGCTTTTAGATTTCAATGAGCAAATTAAGAGGAAATAGTAACTGTCTTCACATCAAACTTAGTGTCACCTGTCAATATTCTAAGAGCCCACAATTGAAATGTGGGTGGCAGGTGCTATCTAAAGAAGAGATGCAAGATTGGGGCAATCCCACCATTGATTTCAACAAGTTAACACAAGCAGAGGTTGGTGCTTCTGATATTAATTTTAATTAATCTTTCTCAAGCATTTGATAACTGAGTTCTTAGCTTGTGATGAGTATTAATTTGATGCACGTAATAGTATGAGATATCTTTCTCATATTTATTTCATTTTCTTTACTTCTGTCATTGCGATAAACCTGTTGTTTTTTAATTGTAATTTCATACTCTATAATTTGTGAAGGTATCTTGTTGTGATAACCATATTTATCGCTCTGACTGTGTTGTTCATTTAATTAGTTGGTTCAGCATAACTCTTATCCTGAGCTGCCACCTCTAAGACAGGGTGATTTCCATAGTAGAACCCACGGAAGAAGGAATGTCAGTAGCAGCAGTAAGCGTGATAGCTTAAGGAGACAGAACCAAGGAAGGAGAGATCTATTATTGTTAGCTTGGTGGCCAATCTAATCTTCCAGTTGAAACATTATGAGTAGAATAGTAGTAGGGATTATAGAGGATTGTCATTTGATCACCGACGCTTTAGGATAAGTATCGTCTGCCTATCTAATAACGTTATTGATGATTGATATGAAAAATGAGTGGAAACACTTGTGTAATTAAAATATATATTTATATATATGAAAGTAATTACAATATATACGTCAAAGCTGAGTCAAACGAATTAGATACTATACTCATTGGATTGTCGTAGTTGATATAAATTTGATGAGGAGAACTTGAGTTTATTATTATTATTCCCTTCATTATGATGATGATTAGCGGTCTTTTTAGTCCTTGTCATTATGAATTAGCTTCACAGAACTAGCTAGTGGACATTTGCAAATGAAATCTATATTTTTGTTGGAGATAATTATGATTGAGCTAGCCAAATTTTTTTTTTTTAACAGCAGAGATAATTTTAAATTCCTTTCACTTTTCTTACAAATCTTCCTTAACCAATTAATCCTTCATTTATTGGTTATTTTGGTGGTTCAGATGAAATTTAAGCAATCTACTAACAACAGTTCAATCTCTTATTTGAATTGGTTAAGGAATTTACTTTTAGATAAATTAATCTAACATTTTTTTTAGATTTTTTCTCTATTTAGATATGGTAAGTTCTTTGTTAACTTTTCTAAACAAAGTATTACCTCCAATTCTAAATATACAAGTTAGTTGACTAATTTGAGGAGATTAAGGAAATAAGTTAAGTTAGTTATTTCTAATAAATAAGTATTGTCTTTCCTAAAATATCCTTGCTAATCAAATGTATTAGCTAGAACTACTATTATCAGAAGGACTACTTTGAAAAAAATGCATAAATATGAGAGATAAAGTAGATTGGGGTTTTATATTTAAGACTAAAATAAAAGTCAAACAAGGTCTTAATTAACCAGTGCTTCTGTTTTATTCATTTTATTATTTTTTTTGTTTTCCCTACACACACACATATATATATTAAAATAGTTGTCCAAGTAAACGTATGTATCTGCAAAAGTGTTGAAATCCCTTCAATGAAAATTGAAATTAACTGTTGGATTAAGATACATTCAGCATCATAAAATTTTTATTCAACAACATAAATTATTTTTTCAGTATCACTGAGAATCTTCATCTTTTAGTAATATTTAGTGTATTCAACATCTTAAAATATTTTGAATGTTATTAAAAAAAAATTTGTTAGATACGTTTTAACCCTTAATTATTTTGAAAAAATTCCTCTGCCAATTAAGTATGTCTAGAATTCTCTTGATTAATTACTGTCCCTGCCAGTTGTTTATTCTTTTGGTCGTTTGCAAGAAATTTAGGCAATATATCGAATTGCATAAATATTTTAGAATGTGAAATTGAAAATCATCTTTTCAACGATTAATTTATAAATGATTTTGAGGTCAAAAGTCCTCATCTGGTCAAACAAATGAATGGCTTTTGCGAAGCACTCTTCGGGGAAGCTTGGCTGAAACTGAAATGATTTAGATGGCGCCACTCTTGTATGTCTTCTTTACATATCACTCTCCACCCACATCCCTTTATTTCAGTATGAACAAGAATAGAATTTTATTTATACAATACATTTCCTATTATGTTATATACACAATAAACAAATACAATAAGTAATCAATATTTGAGCCACTTAATTAATCATCATAAACTAAATGGCTTCCACCAATTTTATGTGCATGCATGCATACGTACCTAAATATATTTATATATTCTTATTACAATTTAATTTCATCATAAAAATATAATTCGTGCCAAACATATGTTTATGTTTGTCTAACTATGAACTACTTCTACTTATCTCTTCTTCTTGAACTGTTTATCATTTATTTGTTCTCTTCTTCTTCCTGAAATAAACATATCCATATGATAGTTTTTTTTTTTTGAGGTTTTATTATCAACACATAACTAATTTTGCGAACAAAATTGCTCACGCACATTGAGACATGTCTTTTTATTTCACTTTATTTTTAAATGCTCTGTTTCTTTACAGGTGATACATCAACACGTTATATATCAAAATATTCTATTACCATATGATATCATCAATATTAAAACAATTTATCTAATTTGTGTAGCCAAGTTGTATAGTTTTACGTACTAACTCAAACTTGTAATTATGCATGGAACTTGGATCTCTTTCAAAATTGGAAACAGGGGAGGGTGCTTTCAACCAAATTGACGGCTTCCAAGATTCACTCTGTTTCATAACTCTGGTTCTTTTTATTTACTGGTTCTTTTTATTGTCCTTTTTTTTTCTAGTTTGTTATGGTAAATAATATGATTATGTTATTGACAGCTGTGTTTGCATCCCCGCAGGTATATGAGAGGAATGATTCATGTCACTTACACTTTACTGTTCTTATGAAATCCACTGCTACATCATTGCATAAAGTGTATGGAACTTGACTTGTTTTTTTTTAATTTATAGAGAAAATGATTTTCTTCGCTCGTGAATTATCACTTTCGGTTTGTGTTGAAGAAAATAACAAAAGATTTAAATTTTACCGAAATGCAATGGTATTTCACTTCATTAAATGCCTTTATTCATGTTAACAAGTGCTCAGTGTTCATTTATAACAAGGAAATTAATTAAATTCTTTCTCTCTCTGAAAACTTCATCAAATGGCAAAAATTTTTGAAACAAAGACAAATATCTGGAGTGACAAATATTATATTAGAATGGAAGGAGTAGGAAGACAATGAGTCATTGTTACCTATTCTCGTCCATTTTTCTCTGGTTCTTGAATCAGCGAGTCAAACACCGCTCCCCTAAAAAGAATTCCACAAGTGCTCTCAGCGGAAGCTTGACCTCATCAGAAGAAGCAAGCTGGGGTTGGGTGGCTTGGTTGAAGAAACCATTGAGATTGCGCCAATCTTGTATCTCTTCTTTACATATCACTCTCCACCCACATTCCTTTACTTCCCAATCGTGACCCGAATGGTCAGCAGAAAATAGAATGCGAAGGGAATTGCTATGATGAGCTCTTAGGTGCCGCCAACATGTTTCCTCATTTAATTCCAACACCATTATTATGCACTGCTTTTCAGAAATGAGGAAACGAATATCACACTCCCACTCTTCATCATCACGTTCTGCAGCTTTACCACTCCAACCACCACTGTAACCTGACATACGGAAGCACACAACAATTCCGCACCATTCACTGTCACGAAAATATGGAGGCATGTCCACTTTAATCTCATGTTTGCTACCCCACTCATCCAAATGGCAATCTTCTATATGTGGAAACCATGATGGTATTTCGCATCCTGGAAGACTTGCACAGAAATCTCTTAGCAGGAGAAGCCGTTCAGCTCCCTGCAAACATATCAAACAATATGTTATTAACATTAATTACCCATGAAGGGAGCATATGTGAGAAAAAAACACAAAAATAAGACACATATAATGAAATAGCACAGAAGGAACTTCTTGCAGCCCATCTTCATCCCAATCATCATCGACTTCACATTCAGTTCGCCAACGACACTGAGAAAAAAAATTAGTCATGTTATATAATTGCAGCTTTAAGGGGAAAAAATACTCATTAGAGGTGTAGGAAGAGAAACGCATACCTCGTGGTCAAGTGAAGCAACCAAATTCCATAACTGTCCATCTGATGATAATGGTTCCATTGAATCACAACCGGAGGCATGTAATCGAATTAATCGTGATGGGAGCCTTGGCAATGACTTGAGCCTTTCGCAGCAATTCAATGAAAGGAAGACAAGTCGAGAAAGACCAGAGAAGCAACCAATGGGTAGATTCTCAAAATCATTACTGCTTAGATCCAATACAATGAGCGATGATAAACTGTCAAAATCAGGAATCGATCCATCATCTAAGCCACACCCGCTTAAGTATAACTCCGTTAATGACATTACATTCAAGCCGGAAATTTGGTGACTTACGTGAGTCTTCAACGACTTGTCAAGATTTTTAATTTTACAGCCACTCAAATTTAGATATTCAAGACCCGTCAAGGATCCAACTGATTCAGGAAGTCTAGTTATAGAAGTAGCACACACATCAAGATATGATAGTTTTTCCATACCTTTCCCAAACTCTGGGAGCTTTGCAACTTTTTTACACCCGCTAAGGCTTAACTTCTCCAAACAATTGGTTTCCCATTTTTTGGGTAGGATTTCAAGGCTTGCACAATTATTTAAGTCCACCTCAACAAGCTTTCTCAACTGTCCAAGGGAGGCATGAACCTTGACAAGAGATTTGCATCCACCAATATGTAAATGTTTTAAATTTGGAGAACGTGAGAAGTCTGGAGTTTCGGTCAAATTGTGAGACCCTTCGAATACGACAGATTCCAACTTTGTCATAGGCTAGAATTAAACAAAAGATGGTAGAATCAGTCTAACTAAGCAGTATATCAATAAAACCTGGACACAGAGACATAATTTTAAGATAAACAATGACGCATGAAGCATCAATCTCACCTGTTTGTTGTTCCAAAGTTGTTTTATTTCGCTATGTGGCGCATCCATTTGAACAAGTCCGTTCAGTTGAGTTTCAAGTCGAAGAGCTTCCAAAGGATATGATTGCCATACAACAACTTTTAATACACCAGCCAAAAACTTCCATTCACTTGGGAAGATGAATTCCATGTTACTTGAGAAGAGCCTAAGGTTACTCATCTTTGAGAAGGCTTCAGGATGTACTTCTATTTTATCTAGCTCCTTACGATCCCAATAATGTTCCATAAAAATAGCTTCTACTGCCTCAGATCCCTGATAAAAATGTCATTTGCCAGAAAAATAACATGAGAATGATAAGAAAATAAAGAACATTAAAAACATTAAATGTATGTCAACAAAATGAGATATTTAGAAAATATGGCTCTCACCTTGTTATTTTCCACTACTTCCTTAATTTCCTCAGACTTCCACAGCCTCCTACGCTTGCCAACGTTCTTGGGAGATTCTTGATGAACTATATTCCTACCCAACTCTTGAAGTAAATCATGCATCTCTAATAAGTCACCATTCTTTTCAACTAGTAACGCTCTTTCAATCAAGACTTCTATTCCAATGATTGGGTTAAGACCACAACTTTTCAAAATTTGGGTCACAAATTGTTTCTGTGTACCCTTGAAAAAACAAGCAATATCTAAAAATATTGCCCGTTGTTGCTCATCCAATCCATCATAACTTATTTTAAGCACTTGAGAAATATCTTTATTAAGATAAGTTTTCTTCAATTTATCTAAGGTGTCTATCCACTCTTTTTTTTTCCTTCCGCGAAGAAAAGAACCCAAAACTTCAAGTGCCAAAGGAAGACCAGCTGCATGTTCAACTACAGATTTAGATAATTTCCAATAAGCCTCATCAGGACGATGGCCTTTGTTGAATGCTTTGTTTGAAAAGAGTTGAAGAGATTCATCTTCCTCCATGGTCTTCATCTCATATATTCTTTGCTCATCTACTTCAAATGAGGTGAGCAAGTGCTTATCTCTTGCTGTAAAAATTATTCTGCTTCCTTTACCAAACCAATCTGGACTTTCGGCCAAATTAGTTAATTGATCCTCATTATCTACATCATCAATGACTAGAAGAACCTTTTTATCGCAGAGACGCTTTCTTATCATCTTCAATCCTTCGTAATCATTAGGAATATTCATGTCTTTAAGAAGCTTCTGTTGCAAAGAGACCTTGCCTTCTTTCTCGAATGTTTCTCTAACATTAGCAAGAAAGCAACACACTTCACAATCGTGGGATAGTTTTTCAAAAACAACTCTAGCAAGAGTTGTTTTACCCACCCCGCCCATACCCCATATCCCTACAAAACGTCTGTCATCCAACCCAACCTCCAAGAGAGACATTATATCACGTGCTCTTGACTCAATCCCAACTAGATTGTCAACATAAGATGGTAATTTAGGAATTATGTAAGCCCGTACATCTGTGACTATTTCTTCTATAAGATCTGCTTCACGCCTATCAAAAAAATATATATATACAAAATTGTTTAACATGACTTGTATAGTCATAATAAATTAATTAAAATAATAATGAAAAATGCGACTTTTCACGAATATTGTTTACTAAAGCTACAATACTTTTTTTTTGATATAATAGGGAATAGTTGAGCAAATAAGAATTGATCATTCTGCTCATTAAAATTAGAAATGTGATCACTTGACCCAAAAGACAATCGAATTATTCATAATTTTGTTGGGTCTGTATTCATCAACTTATTAATTATCAATGTGCATTGTCATTTGGTTAATCCATTCATCATTTAAAAATTTGATTTTTCTCTTAACAGATCAAAATGAATACTTTCCAATTTTCTATTTTACAATGGAAATAGTGCTCCTCACAAATTTAAATGATATTGTTCACAAGTATAAAGGGACTTCTAATATAAAGTCAAAACATAATCTTCATAAAGAAAACAAATGAAAAAGAAAACTTATCATTAGGAGACTTCATATATTACCGAGAAGATAATTAAATAGTGGGCTGCAGGGGATTTCATTATAGAGAATATATTTCTCATAAAAATAACTGAAAGTTAGGGGAAATGCTTATAGAAATTTCAAATAAACAATAGAAAAAACTGCACTGAGAAGGATGACTGATAATTATTGTTGGGTTTGATTAAATTTATAATTTTGAAGGACTGAAATGTTAGCAGCGTGCTATTAGAGAGTTGGGTGCCTAATTTTGCTGTAAATATTGCAGGTGTTTGGGAAGAAAAGAAAGAAAAAGAAATTGTATATTAGGTATGGAATAACATGATTAGAGGCGTTCAATTTGTAATGTCTCCGGATGCTCAACTCGTCCCGTACCATCTTAGAACCTTTTTTAAAAAAAGTATTTATTAATAATAATTATTAGATTATTCAAATCATTTATTAATAATTATTATTAGATTATTCAAATCACATATAATGTAAATGCATGTAAACCAATATTATTTATAATTGATTAATTAAAATTAACAGAATCAGTAATCCATACTTCAATAATGAACCAATTATATAACGTTTGTTGAAGTATAACATAATAAATATATTGGCAAAAGGCTTAAAGTATATATTTACTTCTTTAAGTTTCAGTTTAGCATTACAAGTTTAAAATGTGTTTTTGGTCCATTAAATTTACTACTGTTAACCTTGCTAACATAAAATGTTAACTCAACAGCTTCAAAATGATGATTCAGCATTTAAATATTGACATATTAATTTTTAATTTAAAATATGTAAATTAAAAAGTATTTAAAATAAAACCTAATTAAAGATGCCATCAAACATAATTATTTCCTGTGATCAAATTTTCTAACATAGTTCTATAAGATTTACTTTTAAATTTTCATAAAATTATTAATCTAAAAATATCTTAAATTACGACTTATTAATTTTTATGCAGCTTTTTAAATTATGATATTAGATTGAGTATAAAAGTTACTAATAACACTAGTCCTTAAAATAATTATAACTTTTCAAATGATTTAAATTTTAAGATTAATTAGATAATTTTTTCACGATAAAAAGTAAGGAAAATTTTTTTATAATAATTAAATTGCAAAATTATTAATAAAGTTTTATTTTAAATATTTTTTAGATATTTTAAATTAAAAATTAATATGTCAGCATTTCAAAACCATTTTATTATTTTAAAATGATTGAGTTAATATTTTTTATTAGCGTTAAGTTCAAAGGACTACAATTTTTTTCTGCCAACCAAATGATTAAGGAGAGTAAAGTGAAACTTGATGTAAATTTAAGAAATTAAATATGTTAGATATGCTTTATTATTAACGGGAGATTATCATCTGGGCCTATAATGGATGCTACTTTCATGTTACCATCATCTCTGCTTCAAACGATTATACACCATTTAAACCAAAACGAATCTGTGCCACAAATAAATATGGAAAATATGATTAAATGATTGTAAAAGAAAACTTACCCGAAAGTTTTGATGCCTCTTCTATTGAAAGCATCATCTAAGTTAGGAGTTGAATTACAAGGATTAGAACTGGAAGAAGATTCTCCTCTGGCACTATGTGCCATTGCAAGGGTTCTGTCTTTTCGTTTGACCAAAGGTAATAATCTGCAACAATATATAATTATATTAGGAAAACAAGAAAATGAATCAAAGGTATGAAATTAAAACGAGTGGGTAAAATAAAGAGAAGCTTTTGTGCAGATCTTTAAAACTCATTATACAGAGATCTATACTGCTACGAAAGCTGTTGAAGCAATCTTGCTTTCTTCTCCACAGTCACTGCTGTGATCCACAGACGCCGAACTGCAATAAAAGTAGAGATGTGGAAGGACGAAAGAACCAACCTTTTTCCCTTCTCTTTACCTAACTAGCTACTGCCGTCTACTGAAAGGCAAAGACTTGCTTTAGTGAGGCTTCATGACTTTTCCTTCTTATTTATTTACAAAACTCTACAAATATGTGCGCTTCAAACATTTTACCAAAAAAAATAAAAAATAGCAAACAGTTAAATCTGGCATATAGGATGCTTTCAAATTTTTATTTCACAAATCATCACATTATCTGACCGACATAGCAAAAAGAAATTGCCCCGCGTGAGAGTAATTAGTAGGAAGGAATCTCCTTCCCGTAACTTTCGGTCGTGGGTCCCTCGCCAGTCCCTCTCTTCCTTTTGTTTCTTTCTTTGATCCTTTTTTTCCTTAATCACTTCTTCCCCAAACACATGATCTTTAGATGAGGTTTCATGATTTTTCCTTCTCATTTACGAACAATGTCTTTTTCCAAATTTACAAGCCTATCCAGATATGTGTGCTTCAAATATTTTACCAAAAAAAAATACAAAATAAAAAACATTTAAAGCTGGTATATACTTTCAAATTTTTATTTCACAAATCAAGAAAAAAACAGAGATTTTTAACATGAACAAATTTACTTGGACTTTGTGCAGAGTTTGGCTTTTGGTAATGGTTAATGTTTAAGAGAAAAGGGAATTTCAATTTCGCAGGAGTCTTATTTATAAAACATGAAGAAAAAACTGTTTTTGTCTTCCCTATAGGTATTTTATTCAATTTTTAATATGAACTTACTATTTTATTTATTATTTATTATTATATAAATTATTATTTTTTATAAAAAATATATTAAATATAAAGCTATAAAGTTGTTAAATTCTAAGACAAAGTTAATAAGGTTTAAAACTTTGGGAAAATACATTGCTTGGTCCTCATAGTTTACCTTCATTTTGCTTTTGGTCCCTGAAGTTTTAAACCGGAGCTTTTGATCCCTCAAGTTTGCTCTGTTTAAAACCGTTAATCCCTCTAATTTAAAAAGGACTTGGTGTTTGTGTTAATGGTGTTAATTATGCTGACGTGTCTTTTGACACCATTTAATTCGCTGACATGGCATGTTGACTAGGCAACAAAGCTTAGTGATTAGTTTGCCAACCTGGATTTGTGATTTTAAAAAAACAAGAAAAAAACAAAAACACTTGAAACAAAATGCATGCGCATGATTGACTGGGAATAAAACAAAGACAGTTAAAGGCTGAAGGAAAAAAAGAAGAAAGCGCTAGGTCAAGTTGGACCCACAGCCAGAGAAGCCTTACGTGGCCGTCACCGGTGCGGTTGACTCCGGTGACCATGGGCGAAGGTTAG